AACAGAATTGCAACTGAAGACAGGGGATAAGGTGCTAGCCCAATTGATAGGGACTCAATGACAGAGCAGAGTTTGGGTTGGGCATGATGACCAGGGTGTCTTGTGGCTTGTTGGACATATGAAAACAGCCTGGATGAGACTCTGGAAAATGGCTGAGTCAGGCTAGTGAGGAAACTCAGGTTCTGGAAAAAGCTTTGGAGGTAGGGGAAAGACTTTTTGGAACATAGTAAATTTGATTGTGATTTCACTTCCTCAGCAATTCTTCTTATATTTGTTTCATTAAAAATATTTTATACTTCTCTTATGATAAGAATAAGAGATGTGGATGTATTGTGCTTGTTTAGTACTGACATGTGGTAGGTACTATGCAAGACCTTTGAAAGCATTATTCACCTACTCCTCACCATGGGAATGGGTTCTTTTATGATCTCCATTTCACAAGAGAGAATATGGAAGCTTAGCTTTGCATGACCTGCCCAAGCTTATACTTCTAGGAAATGGCAGAGCCAAGGCTCACATTCAGGCCTGCCTAACTCCAAAGCCTGTTTTCCTTGCTTCCTTAACCTAAATGTCTCCTTCTATACTGTTGATAGAGGAAAAAAATGAAACACATGAAAATAAATAGCATAATTCAAAGACTCAAAGAAAGAAATGGTAACATTTCAGCAAATATTTTCACAGCCTTTTCCATATGCAGTTTTTTCTACATATTTATATTTTTACTGAGTAGATAAAATATTGTATTCATGATTTTATTCATCTTAATATATGTGGTTTTCCACATTCAATTAAAAAGCCATGAATTACATGTCACTAAACCAATATGGTGTATCATGTTCTATATAACCCTTCCCCTGTCACTGAACACTTACATTATTCCCAAGTTTCTACCAGTCAACAAAATTGTCATAATAATTTCTCTGCAAACACTTTCCTCCTCTGTTACTTAGTATAAAATAGAGAGATGAAGATCACTGGTTCAAATCACATACATTACCTAGATTACTTTCCTAGTATGCTTGCTGATAGATTCCACCAGTACATAGAAGATTTGATCCAATACACACTTGTCAAAATAGATTCACCTATCTTATTAATTTTCTATAATCTGATAATCTTTTTTCCTTTGTTTACACTTGCAAACTAAGAATAGGAGCACTTCCTAAACAATATCTCTTTATTTTTTTAATTACCATCTGGGGACTATTTTAACAATTATCCAGCATTGAAACTTTAGGCTTAACTAACAGGATATTGGGGATACAGAAGTGAGAGAAAGAAAAATTATGTGTTCTTTACTTTGGAAAAATCTCAAGATTGGGACCATTTCTTTCCATTTGATTTCTATGACTTGATTTAACTAAAACTTCTATGGGACTTCTTTGAGTTTCTTTCCTCCTATTTCTTTCAGTCTAAAGTATTATTAGATAACTTTTTCATATACAGTAAGTACAGCATGCAATTGTCTAGTGCACCAAGTTTTACTAAGTGATTCCCTGTTTCTCACTTGATTCCTTTAAATGGCTCACAGCCTCCAACCCATTAGCAAGTCAACCATTGTTCTACGCTCTCCTTTCATTAGTTTATCTTCTCTCTACAACATTCCCAATGAAGTAGGAAAATGCATGTGATGTATTTTATAAAGATCAAAATTGCCATATATATGATAATTCAGAAGTCACCACAGACATTTCCAGGGCCTAGAACTGTAATGTCAATTTGTGAAAGTCACCATTAATAAAGATTTCAAACTGGTGACATTTGGAGATGAGAGCTTATTCTGTATTCCTAGTGTCAAGGTACAACAGTAGAAGTCTTGACTTGAGTGCCATTAAAAATGGGAACTCTGGACTTTGCCACTATTGGGTCTGAGCAGCCATTTTACAATTCTACACTTAATATAATCACGGCTCTTTAAATATTCTGGCTTTGGTGGATAAGATTTACATCTGTCTCCCAGTCTAACTGAGCCATATTAATCTTTCCCAGGCAGTAGCTGCTCTGCTTTGGGGAGAACATTTAACTCAGAGCTCCGCAAAAATGGAACTCTGTTCTGTTGACTGTAGAGTACGTAGGTCAAGTGGAATTTTTGGCACTTCATTACATTCCCTGACCCTCACTAAACAAACTTCAAAATATATATGTTTGCAACAATTTGGAATAAACACTACATACAAGTGTTGATGGGAGATTTTCTGAAGAACTACCAAATGCATCAAGACTAAGGAAAACATTCTAATGATTCTTTCAAACATGAATATATTTAAATTCTAGTTAAACAATCTTCTTATTTAGTCTTCTCAAGCTTTGATGACATGCCACGATTGGCTGTTCATCAAAAACTTAGCAAAAAATGCTTAACAAGATAGAATCGTGTGCACATACTTGTGCATAATTAAACTCAGTTTATATAAATCAGTGCAGGGTGGAATATGGTCACACCACCCAAGAAAGGTTGGTGGCTGGAAAATAACACATTTTTCCCCCATGTAAAATAAAAAATATTAAAATTAGAATGCTTTGAAATGATATAATAATCTGATATTAAATCTTAGTTTAAAATATCTATTTTTGTCTCTATTGAAATAGATGAAATTTCTACAAAAGTTAGGAAATTCATTTAGATATAACAAACAAGCTTTAACTGTTATTACTGGGACTGTGTGGCATGACATGGAGGAGTCTCATCTTTTCAAGGTTTTTTACTAAATAGATCCTCATCTCTGTGAGTTTTTTTTTTTCTCCCCTAAAGGAACATTTAGCTGACTCTTAATTTCTTCATTTTATAGCTGTTCTTTGAGTTGAAAAAAAAAAGGAGTGATTGAGACTGAGTAATGGATATTTCTCAAGAACTCTAAGACTAGGTATTGCATAGCATTAAAGAATATACTTTTCCATTTGTTTTATGACTTGGTCCAGTTAGAGTTACTGAGATAAGCACTCCGTATTTACTTGTAACTTGAAACCCTTCTCATGATGTGTAAAAATCCTGAGGGAAAAAGAATTAACATCTGAAGAATGCTTACCTTGTGCCAGGCATTTTATATGCATTATCTCATTTAATTCTCATAACCACAAGATATGGTTGATATTATTTAATCTGATTTTACTTGCCTGAGATCATAACAGGAGTAAAGTACAGAACAAGGCTTTGAGTCTAGGTCTCTCATTCTCTTTCTATTTCTTTGAAACCCAAGATCCTTTCACTGAAACTCACTGAGTTTCTCACTGTAGCCAGCATGTGGAGGCGTAAGAAGGGATAACAAGGGTAACAATAATAAGGAGGTTTTAAACTTTGAGATAATGTTCCCCTCTGAGAGTAAAATAAGAGAATAATATGATGCATGTGTTTAAAACCTGTTCCCTAATGCAAGAACTGGTTTGGCAAGTTATGGACTACCCATACGTTGGAATACTATGCCATCATTAAAATGAATAAGAAGAGTCTATTTAATGAAATGGAAGGTTGTCCATGATTTGCAAAATAATTGCAGAACCGTATGTGCAGTATGATGTACTTTAACACCAGAAGCAACCACACACACATATGGTTGCATGTGCTTTGAAACAGGTCTGGAAGGATGCATAAAAAAAGTGTTAGTTACTTCTGCTCAGCAAGCTTAGAATGACTGGTAGGTAAATTTCACTTTTTAATGTGTATGCATTGCTGTTGCTTAATTTTTTTGTGTGTGCAGTTGCATGTATTACATTCACAATTAAAAATCATGTAATGCATTAGTTGAACAATGTGTAGGAATGACTCATCCTAAGGAATGGATAATTGAGGTGATTCAGGAGATTTAATCTTACAAAAGCAAAACTGCTATTTTGGATCACTATTCTGTGAAAAATGCTTCACAATTACTATGTATATACAGTGAAAGCTAAAATCTCATAACTTGTATTGCACTGTGCCTTATCTGAAGAAGGTGTTAACAGAAGGCAAATGAGTAACAGTCATTTCAGACTTAACTTGTACAAAATAGACCACTCAAACCTACTCTTCCTGTTCCTCCCCCAGTTTACCCATCTCTGTATGTATCATTATCATTTCTTCACTTGCCAAAGCAGAAACCCACCTGATTTCTCTTTTCCTTACCCCCAAACAACAGCAAACCCATCTTGACCCACCTCCAAAGTCTCTTTACTCATATCTTTCTGAGGGCTTTATTCAAGGCATCCCTGTCTCCTACTTGGTCTATGATGGCTGCCTGTTAATAGATCTCCCTGCTTTCACATTTGCAATCCATTTTCCACTCAGCTGTTTGAGGGATCTTTTATACTCCTTGAATTTAGCATTCTCCAGTCGTTCTTCCTTGTTTTTAGAACAGAAGCCAGATCTTTCATTGGTCCACATGTGACCAATGAGACCTGTGACCTGATGCTGTATAATGTTTAGAACTTCAGCTCCTGTCCCCCACCTCTGTTGCTTACCAGGTGCTGGCTGTCTAGTCCTACTTTGTGCTTTTCAAATGCATCCAGCTCTTTGGGACCTAAGGGTCTTATTATTTGCTTTTCTCCACCTGGAATTCTCTCCTCCTTACTGTTTACATGAATAATACCTTATTCATTGGAACCTACATTTTACAGATGAGGACAGTGGATTTCTGAGAGTTTAACTTATTTGTTGGTCATAGCACTTGGTGTATGATAGGTTTTGAATGTATGTCTGAATCATTTCATGCTCTTCCCATGACATTAGATAACAAAGTCAAAGATGGCTTATCTCAGGGACTTGGCAATGGTTCTGACAGTCAGCAAACATCTACCTACTTGTTGAAAAGTCCAAAGGAAAAATAAATTTTTTCAGAAGCTCCTTTTGTAAGTTCTCCTTCCTATCTCTAGTACATTTTTCAGTTTTTACAGGAAGTCTTAGGTCAGCTAGAGGGGAAAATATGAGAAGGAAGTATCGAAAAATCTTGTCTTAGAAATTTAAAGCTAAGTGTTGCTTATTTCATAATGATTATAATTCAACATACCCAGAAACCCTTACAACTTACTTAGTTAGATGTCCAAAGAGGGCTTTCATGGTGTCACGATTTGGTGGAGGGAGTTTTTGTACAAGAGACTTTATAGTTTCAATTCTTGTGTTATTGTCTGGCTTTTCTAAAAAACAAATAAATAAGTAAAAAGAAGGTTAGAAACGATTTCATAGGTACATGAGAGAATTTACTGAGGAAAATTTTAACTAAGACTTAACAACTTAAAGTACTATCAGTAACCAAAGGGAAAGTGTGTTCTTCACCAAGTTGTTTTGGAGTTTATTTTGACTATATAAATTAGACCATGGTGGTAAGAAAGCAGCGACACTGTGACTTTGACACAACCTTCCTTAAATCAAGTATTGAATTGTTTTCTTCAATTTCCTATTTTATAAGGTGTAGAAGGACAAATGGTGACATCCAAATGTGTACACATTTTAATCCCTGGAACCTGTGGCTATGTTACTTCACCCAAGAAAAAGAGACTTTGCAGATGTGATCAAGTTAGGGATTGAGATGGGAAGACTTTTCTGGATTATTATAGTGGGTCCAGTGTAATCTAAAAGGTTCTTATCAAAGGGAAGAAAGAGGATGGGACTCAAAGAGAGAAGGTGATATGACAGTGGAATCAGAGGAGAAGGGCTATGTGATGGGAGCCTGGGCTAATGAGGGACAACAGCCTCTAAATGCTGGAAAAGGCAAGGAAACAGAGCCTCCAGAAGAATGCATTCCTGCCACCATCTTGAGTTTTTCCCTGTGAAACTGATTTCAGGTGTCTAGTCTCCAGAAATGTAAGATAATAAGTTTGTACTCTTTTAAGCCACAGAGTTTGTGCTATTGGCATACCAGCAGTGGGAAGCTAATACATAAGGACATATAAAACAAAGAATTTTTTTTAAAAAAATTACTTCTATGCTATCTTTTCTCCTGATGCATTTTGGGTTTGCTACAAAATAAGGAGGTTGCAAAATACAAAACTCCAAAAAGCATAATAATTGGTCTTATGCATTTTTAAAAATAGGAAGTTGTTCAAAACTGCATACCACATGTATTGTTTTTCTTCATTTTGTTCCTTTTGCATGGAAGAAAAATTAAGAAGTTATTTACTTAGCATCCTAAGAACTTTGTCTTGCCATGGTCTTAGTCAGGACCTTACCATTTTGAGGTATAATTATTTATTGCACTTAAACACTTTAGAACATTGATTTGTTATCTTTCTGATGTATATTTTATCTTTAACTTCTAACACAGAGCTCCTTATAATTCTAAAGAGGTCACTGCTGGAAGAGATATATATGGAAATATATGTAAGTTAATCCCCCACCCAATATCCACTCTTATCTCCCTTTGCATGACAATCCCATTGTGGAGAGGATGGAAACATATCAGCAAAAGGGCTAATTTCCCAGACTTTTTGGCAACTGGTGTGGCCATGTGACCAAGTCTGGCCAATGAAAGTTGAGTTAAAGCATTATGTGGGACTCCTGAGGAGGAGTGTCCAGAGCTGATTTAATTATTTAAACTTTTAAACTTTTCTTCTTTATGCTTCTGAGAATGTATATGGAATTGGTATACCAGGAAATGACCTTGAGAATGGAGACTATGAAGAATGCACACTGCTAGAAGGAGCATTCCTCACTGTGGGGCAGTGAGACCTGGGATTCTGTGATTTTGTGTACGAAAACCTTTGCAGATGGTTCTCGAATACTAAGAGTAAACATGGTTCCTAATAAGATGTACTTCAATAGCCCAATTTCTAATCTTCTGTTAGTTGGTATATAATTTTTATTTACTAGGGTAAGAAAGAATTAGTTTAGAAACTGCCAGTTTTCTTAGCAAGATGTTTCAAAAGAAACTTTTTGTAAGGAATTGTAGGAAAATGTCCTGCTGAAGATGGTATTTGGCTAAAGTGGGGTGAGGGCAGTCTTCCTAGTAGAACTCTGCCTGGAAGATTTTTCTTTTTCCTCCTAAAACCACAAGGGTCTATAAATAATGCCTCCCACAGTCAAAGCTTTCAAAATTGCAGTTATTCTTAGAAGAGTTCCAACATAATATGGCTTGGACAACTGCAAATGAAAGAAACAAAGGGGAAGAAAAAGAAAAAAAAAAAAAGATGCTGCAACATCATAGCCCACACCAGATGTAATCTTTTCTGCCAAAACGTAGTGAGCCCCCTGGTTATTTAATGATGGTAAGAAAATGTGATGCTTTGCAGGACTACTTGGGGCCTATGGGATACCTTAAACTCAGAAAAAGCTATTTAAAAAGTCAATATAGATATTTTTTAAAAGATGAGTGTGAAGCTGATATAGTGACTCAGAACAGAGCTATTAGTAGTGTTAGATACTTTGTATTTAACCCTCTGATGTGTGTGTATAGGTGTATTTTTTTTTCAAGATGTAGATACTTTTTGAAGTTTGGCATGATTCTAGAAATGCATTTTACTTGAGGATCTGGTGAAACATTTGGTTTAAGCAATGAAGATGTTATTGGGAACAGTAGAAAGAAGAAAGGAGGGGAGAAGAGGAGACCTTTTTAGTTTTACTGAAATTTCTGACTATAATCAGGTCAATTTCAGAATCTCCAGAAAAGGGACTTGTTGACATTCAGGGCTGCAGAAGTAGCAGCCCTAAATTAAACTTGACAGACAGTAAGTGGGGAGTGATCTTAATGGCTACATTCAGCAAACCTTAGTTTTGGGGAACATATGATCCAGTCAGAGTGAGTTTAAAAAAAGGTTGAGCATTGCTTAATTGGAATAATTGAATTTCAAGGTCACAACCATGGTGCTCAAGCAGGAATTAAAACATCATCAAGTCTGTTAAGCCACCAGGTAAAAGAATTGTGAGCTTTCCTGAACAAAGTTAGCTCTCCCTTTGCTGTGTTCCTTTGCTTTTAGAACATTTTTCTTATGCAATACTTCACATGGTATTTCCATTACTTGGATTCCTATCCATTTCCCCCATTAAAGAGGGAATCTTCCTATAAAGCTGAGTTGCTTTTATTCTGGTAGACAGTAGATTGAAAGAACAAAACATGAATTAGTAAATGAATGAAAGACATGAGCAATGATTGGAATAGATTGACCTCAGTTTAAATTCTGTAACAGCTTTTTATTAGCTATGTGGTCTTAGACATCTTTCTTATTCTCCTTGAATAACATCTAAAAGGGAAGTTTTATGGAATTCACAAGATAGTACGTAATGTACATAGCACAGTGACTGGTCAAACTAAATTCTCTGTAAGTGTTCACCCCCTCCATACCTTTTTTTGAAGTTCATGCTGAGTTTAATTCACCTTTTGTTTCTAGCACTTAGCATACTACTTGGTTTAGCGAGCATTCAAAATGCAGTTGCTAATTCTTGAACTGAGTTGGTATCAGTTCATGAAAATTCAATTGCTAAGATAGCTTGCCATTACACAAGTCCCTAAATACTTGGAGATGGACTGAGAAATTGATGATCTGATTGGTGAGATGTTATGCGACAGAACCTTTATAAAATATATGGTGGCTTCTCAGTATGCCTATAAGAAACATTCTACATAAAAATATTTTATAGGCATATTTTCCTTTTTCTATTTGCACACATACTTGAGCAATCAGACAATTGGAGAGTCATACATGCATATTTGTGGGTAACTATGCTGTTGTTCTAGAGGGGAAACTGCAATGGCTTAGAAAGAGCGGAAATATTGTTAAGATGAAACAATTTATTTTTCTTAAAATCTAATCAGAACAAAATCTTTTGAAAGGTTATAGGAAAGCAGTGTTTTCCCATTCAAATCAATACCACACCCACTCTTCCATAGCTTGTAAAATCAGGAAATAACACAAACACTTCTAAGTGGGGGAACATCTAAAAATACAATTGGATACATTAAAATCAAAATGACACCTTTTCAGATCTGGTTTATTGATGTGTCATATTAGGAATTAGAATCAGCATACATAATACAGGAGTGGTTAATGAGCTAAGATTCATACACAGCTTACTAAAGACGTGTCAACTGCCTTCAATTGATTCAGTGAGCATCTGAAAGACAGCATTTTCTATTAATATTTCTTCTTCAGCATATGGTTTCTCATTATTGTGAAGCATTGAAAGTTTGAGAAGACTTTAAGATAGCTCTGACTTTTTTACATTATGATTAGAGGGGGAAGGTAAAGAAACATTTTTTTTTCTATGTGGAGAATTAAAGAATCTATTATCTTAGGTACACTATATACTAAGAGACACAAAAATCTTTCTAGAAATAATAAGCTCCACATTTTTTTTCTTTCATTTGCACTTACTCCTACCCTCAATGCAATATGATTTATTTCATATGTACTCTATGCTCGTTAATACCTCCATTTTAGATTCTCATCTACATTCATATATCCTCTCTCTAGTCTGAACTGTGAACCTACAACTGTGTAAACTGTAGTGGTACATTTTGGCTATTCAACAATGATTCTAAACTGTTTCTCACTCACTGCTCACTACCTGCCCCCATCTTCTCAATCAACACCAAACACATTGTTGTAAATCATCTTCTTCAGAAACAATTTCATGCTGCTTGGAAAATTAACCTCTCTTACATGATGTGATATAGGTTTTAATGCCACAAGAATGTGGCTTTATAGCCCCTTCCCCCATTCGTGGTTTTGAGGGCACATTTTTCAAAATATGTTTTATGGTAGTTATATTTGCATTAATCTGAATGAAATGTTGCTACTAAAGTAAGAACATTTACAACCATATGCCTTTTAGAAAAGAGATAAGATAAAGTTACACAATGATGGAAAGTTCTACGCAGGGAAGAACTGTGGCCCTGCTGGCCTCTAGACACTTTCCTGATCTTATCATCCATGCCTTTATTTTTCCTAATTTATTTATAGCCAAACGTTAAATCATAATTCAAAATAGATCCTGCTATTGTATATAGGTTCACCAGAGGAACACAAGACTAGCTTCTCCCAGTAACCATTACATAGGGAGTACTGTTCATCCCACATATCTACAACTGGCAAAGGACAACTGCTTCCCTTTGTTAAGGAGGTCATAAGTACCACAGCTGTTCTGCTTCTGAAAGTTATTTTGGAATGTTTAATGCATCCTGTATGAAAAACACAGTAGTCAA